TCTCGTATGTATTTATGGCATTTTTCGTTCAGTTCAGCTCTTGGCAAAGTGACACATGAAGGAAATAGCTTCCCATTAATAACAGAAGATCCAAAATTGACCCTGCTTTCATGCTTCATTTCAGTGACGCAGGTAAAGATTTGTTTTGGGAGCAAATAGTAAATTCCAGCAGATAGTTGGCTCTAAGAGCATAATATAATGTCTGTGCTTTAAACACCAAGTTTTTCCCTAGTGCTTCTTAAGGCTTAGACATTATGTCACTCAACTATTTTTGTCTTCTGTTCAGAAGTCCCAGTTCCCAACGCAATATCTTAATGACCTGTAGAGTCTTGCACTCACATCGTAACCTTCGTTGCTGTTCCTTACTGATCAAAAGTAATGGAGTGCACAGAGATGCTAAAATCAGCTTATTATTTTAATACTGAAAAATATTAGGCTTTTTTCCTCCAAGTTATTTTTGTTTTGCGTGCGCTCTGGGCTGGTGGAAGAAATGAACAAATCACCTTTATTCATCTCTCATACTTTGTTTGATATGGTCCATGAGTGACAGTCCATAGAGTGATCAGCAGTGGTTGTACAGCAAGGCTGTTTAATGAAGGCTTTGGAAAAGGGTAATATTTTCTGTCATCTTTTTTCTATTTTCCTTCTAAGAGGGTGGGTTGTTCCATTAAAATTCCATTCAAGCAGACAGGAGCATTTATAATGCTCCAAAGAATATGTTCTCTATTTTTGAGTATATTATGTTCTTTATTCACCCAAATCTTGTTTTAATATTGCTGTAAACTTAATAAGAGGAGATGAGATATGAAGCGATAATCTTTTAAATATAAGGAAAAATAATTTTCTCTACCTTCGTAGAAGGCATAGGTCTAAGCCATCCCTTATTAGAGATTTTGGTAATAAAAATCTCTGCTTGTAGAATAGCAGTCCCACAAAGCTATCTGCTGTGCTAATCTGGAGAAATCATTTCTTTTTTGTTTTGTTGGCTTTTTTTTTTAATGCTCCTCATTTATGATTTTTCTCCCCATGTGATATGAGCCGTGTTGCAGACGTGCCCACCTCCCACCACTGCTCTGACAGGCTGTGCTCCGTTACTGGGAGCAGCAGGGCTGCCCTTTGGACCACGTGTGCTTTCAGAAATCACCGTCCCCCATTCCAGACAGCAACCCATGAAGGATTTTGGGGAGTGATGGCAGGGTTGGGCCATTGGTGCCCACGATGGCTTCATGCTGTACGTATTATATACCTTTGGCTGGAAACCAGCTACTTGCTTGCTGCTGGCTGACCCTGATGATTGCTTAACTGTTCAGCATGGAGAGATCTCGTTTCATCGTGATGAAAAACAAAGTACTCGCGTTCGTGTGCGCGCGTTGTCAGGTTACTAAATGGCAGGTATAGAGTTCGGGCCATTAGCGCGGTTAAACTTTGCACTGCGTTAAGTGCAACAGTAAATCTCAATGATTTAAACCCGTCTCCAGGTTTCCGTGCTGTCTGCCTCTCCTGGGCGATCCGGGGGATGTTTTACTGTTTCACAAATAGGAGGACTCCCCTGCTTTGCCTCTTCTATTTGAGCATTTGCTTTCTTGAAGAGTCGGGGCACAGCAGCTCTCTGTTTTCCAAGTTAAACCACGGAGACTCGTTTGCAGATGAGCACTGAGTTTATCTTTGAGGGAAAACCTACGTGGTTTGCACAGGCTTTCCACAAAGGCTTTTGTAAGATAATGCTGCGCACGGTGAGATTTCACCACTGATGGACTTGGAGCACGTGTTGTTTTTTGTATTTAATCCCTTTCATCTTTCCAACAGATTTTCAGTCCAGTTTTTTCAGAATTCTTAAAATATTTTGAAGTAGAGGAGCAAATATCGAATAAATTGAAGTAGGATGTTGGAAGAACATTCCTTCGTGATTTGTGTGCTGACTTGGAACAAACCATATAGAAAACCACATATTTCTGCAGCTGGAGTTCTTAATAGTTAATTTTTGTTTCAAGCAGACACTGACATTAAAGAACTACAAAATGGCCAATTTGCTGCTTGCTTTAGGGATTGAAATCCCACATCAGCAGCACAGTTTTCAGTTCCGATCTCAGATGCTATTTTAATTAGCTGAGATGTATTCGGCGTATTCAAAATCTCACTTTATTACTGTAACATTTGGAAAGTATATTTGGGAAACTATCCACAGTAGCTTGCTTTTCAGCCATTTCTTCGGTGCTCTGTGAACAGAATTTTTTCTTTGTGGAATAAGTACTTGAAATTATAAGCTTGATTGAATTTATTTGATGTGGTCTGCTGGGACTAATTGCTGTATGCAGGCTCTGTCAATTATCCATCTAGAGCTATCAGTTCCCAACTGATCTGGAAGCAGAAAGCAGCACTGCTTTATACAGAGATACTCTTCCTTTGATAGTGATGCTGGGCTCCAACCAGGACTGGGCTATGAATGAAGCTGTGTTATAAATGGCTCTCTTTTTTTTTTTTTTTTTTTAACAACTGTTTCTACTCCTGAAATAGATCGTTCCCTGCTTTTGGAATGACACTACGTATTTATGTTAAACAGCACAAGTGTTACAGAGTTCACCAGGAGGAAGAGTTAGATTTAAGTCTCATGTCAGGTTGGTGTGATTTTCTGATTAACTGTTTTGTTGCAAGTGCTGGTAACGACCCTGAAAAGAAATCTCAGTCCCATGGCAGTGACACAGGAGGTGCTGTTACACCCAGCTCATCTGACTTAGGCTCTGCTTTGTGTCCAGGACTCTGTGTTCTGCTTCGGGGCTGTAATTCTGACTCCAAACCTCAGTCAGCCCATTGGTTTCAATTGTTAAAAAGAAGTAAAGAGAGTTGTAGAAGTCTCCATAATGCATCGGGTTCAGGTAGAAGCAAAATATCAGCAGTGCTGGTAGGTAAGCAGAGGTATCAACTCGTAATGACAAAGATGTTAAACAGAATTTATGCACCTCAGAACTGCTTTGTGCAACTTCTTTTGGAGTTTTTCCTGTATTAAAGCGGTTTTGCACGTCTAATAGTAGGAAAACAGCAGTGTGTGTGTCAGGGATGGGACATCTCTGCTGTGTGAACACAGGAGATTTGGAGAGCAAAACACTGTAAGAAAGACCAGACCAAAACCAAAGAGATTCCAGCAATAGCACAGTGATTTTGTTGTTGGCTTTGGGATCATGTTTTCCATCAGGATAAATTTGTTCTATAGTAGGTCAATAAAAAAGAGCTTATCAAATAGTGAAAGGGTTTGGAAGCATACAGAAAAGAGTGCATGCCAGTGATGCATACAGCAAAACTCAATACCAAATATCAAGTTTTTGGTCAGTGAAACTGACTGTGTCCCATACACCTGGGTTGTGATTTGGTATGAACCTGGATTGCACATCTCCTAAAGGGATGTCACTTGTGTCCATAGCTCTGTTCAGTGTTGGAACAGGATGCTGATCTTCAGGGATGTGTAGTAAAACGCCAGATTTCTACCTTTGGGTGCATGTTTTTCATTGTCAGTGGTGATAAATCAGGGAGATGCTGTGAGAAAAGCAGGGAAAGGAGTGATCAGTGAATCATCTGTTCTGAATTAAACTGTGACTCAATCGAGCATAACGGGAGTGGAACTGTCAAAAACGTTTGTCATTGGACTAATTCTTTTCCAAGTGATTCCAAGAGCTCCATTATTTGGTGTCTGTTCAACACTGGACTCTAAATAATGAAATCACTCATGAAGTTCGTGAATGTGTTTCATGGCAGTTTGTGTAAATTCATCCTTAAAAGCTGCAGATCTGAGGAACAGGTTTGTCTTCTGTGGAGCTATTCCAAATTAAGATGACTTTCAGTTGGATCAGCGTATATAATGTGGAGCAGATTAGTAGCTGTGGAAGACTGGGGATGATTGAGGTAGACGTGGGTAGGTAGGACTGCTCAGGGATACTTCTGTTTCATCTTTTAGGAAAATATGGTTATGTCAGAGCATTTATTGGGTATGTTGGCTGCAAATGTTTTCAGAGGAAATGCTCTCTTCCCCCGGGAAGACTTATATTACACCAGTTCCTTAAAGAACACCCTTTGCCCTTGATATATCGATACCTGTGACTTTCTAGAGTTTATCCGTTGATTGCAGCCTGCTTTAGTTTTGAGGGCTGAGTACTGCGTATTTCATTGCTATGGGAGCGTAGTGGAATGCATTTCGAGACTGCTGTCTGTTTGCTAAAGAAATCTGTCCCTTCCAACTCCTATAAAGTCAGAACATCTGAAGTCCGAATTGGGTCTGTGTTTTCCTGGCGGAGCAGCACGTTTAATGCTTGCTGCACTGCCTGAGGCCCCCGCTTATTATCACTGAATTGTAAGCTTCTTCCAGCGATTGTTTGTTTTTCTGGAAAGCTACAATGAAAGCTACAGCAAAGAGAGTCAGAGGAACAAAAGAATTCCTTGAACATTGCAAAATCGTTGACCAAATGGACGTTAGTGCTCTCGATCCAGTGGCTCTCGGTTCGTTGGCTCTGGTTGGGCTGGTGGCTTCTGTGCTGTGTTGGCAGCCAGGGAGTCAATTAAGGACATTCCATCTTTCTAACACGGTTTTAATCCTATTTCCAGTTCCACTGCGTCAGACCAAGCCAGATTGTTTTATAGATTCTGATGTTTATTTAATATATTTTTTTCCTAGCCTGAAATGAAGTAGAAGAGCCTTTCTGTGTCAACGGCAAAATTAGGAGTGCAAACTTCTCAAACTTCAAAACTGATAGATTTGAACTAGATAATCTTGGAGGTCTTTTCCAGCCTTATGCTTCTACGATTCTCTCCTGTCGTTTCTCTCCTTCAGTATTATAAATTTTCAGGCAAATATATAATTTTTGCCCTCGGGATTTCCCAGAATGAAAAGCCTTCTAATTATAGACTAATTGTATAATTGTAGAAGAGGAAAGCACAGTTAATTTAAAAAAATAATAACAACTTAAATTACCCCTTGGAAGTGAATAACATCCCTCTAAATTTGTTTTGCTCAGAGCAGGAAAGCAGAACGGGAGAGTTGGTGGTTCCCCCCCGGTCAGACTCTGTAATGGCACACGGCATCCAGCGGCTGCTGCCCCACGTCTGCAAACGGCGCTGAGCTCGGAAACAGCCCCCGTCTCAAACTCCAGCCCTAGCAGATAAGGGCTTTGCCTTCCATCCAACTCAGATCTCGTTGTCAGTGTAAAAACTGAGGTTTAGTTTGAATCGTTGTCCGACTTCACACCAACGCTGTATTGGTTCCAAATGTTGAATGTGTTGAGAGTTGTGTTTTCCAGCTCGAGTGGAGCGTTTTAGAGGAAAGAGAAATGGATTTGTCGTCTTTGTTTTGTGCTTTTACTGTAATTATTATTAAAGCAGAAATTGGGGCAAAATATTTGAACGCGGTGAAAATTGTTGCTTTTCTCCACCTGGCAAAAACCGAAAGCTAAAATGTCCCCAGGCAGCAATACTGTGTTATTTTGTGACATTGAAACACGGCAAGGAAGGGAAAACGAAAGTCAGGATTGTGCTGTGCTTAAAGAGGGCTGCCTCCTGTGTGTCTCTGCACCGTATTTGATACCATGGAGTTTTATGGCTGGTGCAGTGCTGCTGATAGCATCTCGGCGCTGTGTTCAGTGCCGTTCCCCTGCATTCCCTCTCAGTGTGAAACACAGCAGAGGTGCACAGCAGCCCGGTCGCTCCGGCACGTTGGCCGTGCTGTGTGTGGTATTGGAGTTGAATTTAAGAAGTAATGCGTGATTTTTTTGCAGCTATGCCTGAGCTGGGCTGCTGTGTGTGTTAGGGCTGCTTAGGTTACCGGGCATCCATAAGAGAAGTTACCTTCACCTTAGCTTTGTGCCTGCGATCCTTATGGGTAATGAAAAGATCGAAGCACTGTTGGGAGTTGTTTTAAGAGCTTTGAGGAGAAAGAAGTGGGGAGGAACAGCTCCTGTGTGCATCCTGGTGGAGCTGCTGCCGAAATCCCGTTGAGGAGCGGTGCTGTCGGAGTGCTGTGCTTACAGAGTACGGAGGAAATGAAATGATTTTCTCTGACCGCCAGACCCCGCGAGGAATCAAGAGCAGTTTAACGCCGTGATTTGGTAATTCTGCGCTTCCTCCGTGGTGGTGTGCAGGAAAATGCTTTGTATCACTGGTCAGAGTTTTATCATCTAACTGAAGGGAGCTGCACAGCAGTGCGGTGTTCTGAGCAGCTCGGGATGTTCAAAAACATCGGGGGAATATGTGACAATTGGAAGAGCTATACAGGTAGAGAATAATTCAGTTATGAGTTGCACCCATCTTGTGCAGATCGCCATGCAGCCGATCAGGTGGCTGGCTTTGTTTAGATGTTACACACAGCCAGCTCTTTGTTTCACTGAGTATTTCCATTGCTAATTATTTCCTTCGTTTTCATACACATTGCTGGACACTGGGTGACATTTTGCCTGAAATCTCTTAAGCTGCAGCTTCCATCACCACCACAGAGGAGCTGAACATAGAAGTCAGTGAATGGAGCTCCCAGCTATCTTTTTAACCCAGTTGCACCAGATGCATCACATAACAGTGCCACAAACCTCACTTCTCTGTTCTGAAAGCAGTGTTGGTTGGAAGGAGGGAGCCTTTTTTGGGCACAGCTGCAACAGAAGTCAGCTCTGTGGCTTGTGGTTCTGCACAGACATAGGTTAGGGCATCAATTGCATCTGAGCTGTGAATTTGAAGTTGTTTTCCAATTATTTTGATCTAGGAGGGTTGTTTTTTTTTATTAGTTTTTATTCGATGACAAACTTTGTGGGTCTTCTGAGCATTAAATGGCAACGTCTTAGGAATCAGCTTCAATAAAGATTTCATTTCTGTGCTGTTCTTTGAAGACTTTTTGAACCATTCTTTTTAGGTCAAAAAGTAGACTTTCTCTCCTCTCCATATGTCTTCATACGTCTGTCTAATCAGGAGCTTGTTTCTCCCTCAGGATGGGCTCTGGCATCTCTTTTCTCCAGTTGCTCCAGGAAAAGTTTGGCTCCCAAAGAACCTTCTCATTTTGGCTTTGCATTGGTTTCCCCTGCTCTGTGTTCTCAGAGCCCATCAAAGGCTGCCTCCTGGCTCCCTCCTGCCCTGACATTCCTTCCCAGCTGTGCTTTTTGCTGAAATTTCAGGAATATCCTGAGCTGCTCCCTTTGAAGTGTGCTCGTGCCACTTTTGCATAACTGGTTTCAAGCCCCAGCAGCCTCTCTCGGATTCCAAGCCATTTGGGCAGCTCTCTCCCTGGGGCTCCCAGCGACTGCCAGGTACCACCCTGCATCCCACTCACTGCCAGGCTCCTGGCACAGAGCTGCTGGCACAGCCCCAGAAATGTGATCTCAAGTTATGACTTCATGCAAAAAAATTACAGCATTTGCTTGCGAGCGCTAACCGAGATTAGAAATTGTAAGGGAGCATCGCTTTTTTGTTTTCATTTCCTGCTTGCTGGTTTGTTGCTTCTATGGAAGTATTCTGCTGAATTGCTCGGGACTGCTTTCCTCCTTGATATCATCTTTATTTGTTGTGAATTGGTTGTGTTGTGCAGTCAGTCCTTCCTCTATAACCTCTCTTGAAAGCAGTGTGGAGGTTCTACAGATGTGTTCTGAAATCTGTATGTTTCAAAAGCAAACTTAATTGTGCCGGGTTGTCATGCTTGCCAATTAAGACTGAGTGTATTCTTGCATATCAAATCCTACAGCTTCATACCACTGGGCTGTGTCTAAAAGGAAAAAACAACCCAAAAATGTGAGTCGCTTGCACATTATGCAGAAAGAAGTGTCACATTTAGGGTTAATGGTTGTGCTTAATTTCAGCCAGAGGAACCAGAGACATTCCTTGGGTAGCTTTGGTGGTGGCAGGGACTCAGCTTTGGGAGCTGAGTTTTCCAGGCAGGTACCTATAGAGGGTTGTCAGACTTAGGCTGCCAACTTGGAACAGACCATAGAACTTAAGAAAGACGTATATATCAAAACATACAAAGGCACACATGCAAAAATCTCATGGGATGGCTGAATTCCATGCTGTACCGGGCATAAAAAGAAAACAGTGTAGTCAGTGGGAGAACAGAGAATTTAAAGTCTGCATTTGCTAGGTGTGCAGGGAATCTGAAACCCAAATGGGTTGAGTACAACAAAAAGGAATGCGGTTGGGCAGCAATAGCTGCTTCTGGCACTCCTGATGCATTTAGCCATTTTCTTTCAGCTCTGAAAGAGAGAGAAAGAAAAGTAACTGTGAAATTGGATTGAAGAAATCAGAACGGTGCTGCACTCCGGTAAGATCCAAAATACAGGGCAGCTTTTGTACCTTCTAAGGCTGAGCGTTCTGAAACAGGTTGAAATGATAGAAAATCCTGTGGCTAATCAAACTTGAGAGCTATTTTTTTTTAATTCTGAAGGATTTCTTTTTATTGTCAGTGCGATGGAAGGCGATAAGAGAGAAGATCCCAATTGTAATCTGATGGAGAAAGCTTGGAAGCAGAACTTTCAAAGCCTTTCAAAGCAGCAGAGCTCGTCAATGAAAGCAAGCTGTATGGCTGATGGGAAGGCAGTGGGCATGGCCAGGCTGCTGTGGCGTGGTGCAGAATGCACAGCCTGTAGAACTGACCTGCAGCCACAGCCCACCTGCTGCACGTTTGCTTTTGTTTTATCCAGCAGCTCTGCCTCCTCACAAAAGCAGAGGGGCTGTCACAGCAGCCCATAAGAAGCAGAATTACGTTTTTATGCGGATTTTAATCTTTTTTTTGTCAGCGATGGTTTTCTCGATTACCGTCTGAGTTTGATTCAGTGCTGGAGATGCTTTGCTGGAAATCACAGTATGGTTTTGATAGCCTGGAGCAGTGATGGCCATTGTGTGGTCCAGGGCAGCCATTTGGCCTGCCTGAAGAATTTATTGCCTGGGCTGCAGTTGCTGCAGCAGTCATGCTAGAAAGTTCTCCTCTGAGTCTCTGCAGCACTGTCACTGTTCTTGGATGTGTCTGCAGCAGGGAGGAGGGGAGATGAATAGCGTTCTGGAGTTGGTCTGACTCGCTCATGAGCTCGGCCATGGGAATAGGCCCTGTGGTGAAGGCAGCTCGGGAGGTGCTCGGGGTGGGGGATGCTTGTGGGCTGGGGAGCAACTGGGAGCAGGAAGGAGGGGAGGATGGGTGCAGGTGGGGAGAGTTGGGCAGGAGGAGCTGGAAAGGAGCTGCTGGGTGGTGGTTCCTTGGCGTGGTGTTGGGATGGGGTGGGCAGATCCAGGGCAGTAAGTGAGGGAGGAGAGCTGCCCTTGGGCTGCCTTCCCCCCAGAGGAGAAAAACTCCAAACTATCTGAAGTCACAGGGATGTGACAATACAGAAATGAATTAAGCCTTTGGACTCCTGTGCTGTTATCTCCGTGTACTTGGGACCAAAGGCCAGGAACCAGTAGGTAGCAGTTGCTAGATAAATTAGGCACTGGTGCAGTGAAAAGGAGGAGGAGGTTTTGGCCTCAATACAGCTGTGTGAGAAGTGTTCAGGATTTGTCTCGGGGAGGCCAGCTGACCATCAGCCACTAACTGGTATTGCCAAATAGAGCAAGTGGGTGATATCCCGCTGGAAAATAGAGGTTATTTTTTGACCGTGTAGAGGACTAGCCAACGAAAAACAACACTCAGACATTTTGTTTGCAGACATGATTTCTGGAGTTTTAGCCAAAAGCACAGTGGAACAAAGACCGAAGTTAAATTTAGTACATGTCAACCTGATCAAAACCAAGTATACACAGACAAAGCCTGGCCAGATTCAGACACAATGTGGCCTGCAGTTGCCAGAGCTTGCACAGAAGATGGGATCTTGCAGAAGGGAGCTCAAGCCGTTAATTACAGCAGAGGCAGTGTATCTCCAGTGTCACTGTGTGAATGTGGTAGGCCTTGTAGTAGCTTATTTAAAGGTAGTAAACCAGGGTTTTCATGGTTTCATGCAAAGAATAACTCCTTAAAAACATGCATTATGACTGTCCAGGAGTTAAAAATGGATCTTCAGGGAGCGCTAGGAGGTTTTGTGAGCTCAGATCAGTGAAAAACCTTGCTACTGGGGCTGGATGAGGTACTGTTAAATTGCAGAATAGCAGCACTGAATGTCACCTTTTGGCATTTTGTTCAATGGAGAAGTGAAAGCAAGAATGCCTGCGCTGCATAGAAAGTGATGTCAGCATTGAATTGCAGGACAGGAAATAATTTATTAATAATTTGGGTTTTGTCTGTGGAATTGATGCCGTGGGGTTGGTGGTAAGGGGCAGCTATAGGCAGCAGGATGTTGTGTGTGAGAGCTGACCCACATGAGCATAGTGCACTGCAACAGAAGATAGATGCACCATTTCTGGAAGAAAAATGTGATTTTGCAAGGAAGTGTTTCAAACAGGCAAGTTCTAGAGGCTGTGAATGCCAAGGGGCAGTGAGCAAGCAGCCCTCCATCAGAAGCACCGGTGCTTTCAGGGAGTCAGCAGGTCCAGGCATTGGCACCGAGCAAGAAATGCTGAGCACGAGGTTGGCTCTGAATATTTCATTCCAGCTCCTGACATTTTTCTCTTGAGCTGATCTGCTCACTTAAGAGAAATAAACTTCCAGCCATGCAGCACAACCTGCATCACCTTGTCGTATTCCCTGAGAGCACAGCCTGGTTGGAGCCCAGCGAGAGGAGAAAGTGGACCTGTAGCTTCAGTCCTTCCTTCTGAAGGGATGGGTCTGCTGATAAACCACGGCGCTCGTTTTGTGTCAATTAATGCTGTGACACATGAGAGTAACTTCAGCCAGCTTCTATCTTTTCTATCTTTATGGTAGTGTTTGTTTATCAATGTTTACAGGGAATTGTCTTCACAACAGTCTCCGTATTATCTCTGGAGCAGATTTTATTCATTAAGCCTCTTGCAACCACAGAACTGATCAGCATACGAAGTATTTCACAACAGAGTAAACAAAGGCGAGCTTGCGGTCACAAGTACCCGACGTGTTCTCCCAGAGAGGCTGGGAAGCATTGGTTTCAAGTTCCTGTGGCTTCGAATTCCCATTGCTTGCAGGCTCGTGTTGGAGCAGGCAGAGCGAGGATGGAAGATACCATAAATTTCTCAGCGTTTAAACTCGGGGAGTGTGAATCATTTCTTTCTTGGAATAACTTTAATAGAAGAATAGAATCCAACCTGATGAGAAAAACGTGCAAAATCTTTTTCTTTTTCCTTTTCCTCCCCTGTTTCGATGCTGCTTTTTCCAGCCTATTTTTATCATGAACGCTTGGAGAAACCTAAGGAACTTGGAGTTGTAATGCTTGCAGATTGAGAGCACTGTGAAAAAGCATTTTGCTAGGAGGCTTACTTTAAGGAACAGTGGACTTCCAACCAATTAGGAAAGAAAATAATTTGTCTGGGATCGTTTACATTAGATTCTGAACAATTTCGGCAACTTTGGGGATGTTAGAAATTGGTTGGATTTCCTTCTGAAGAGATGAAACATCATTCCTAATGTATGTTACAGCAATATCAGATGTCAGGAGCATATGGGAGCTTATATCTCACAGAGGCGATGCCAGAAGGATAGCAGTGTGTTCAGTAATTCTCTGGTTTTACAAGAAGCGATGGATTATATTCGCTTGAATTGTACTCGGTTACGATGTCATTCTTGGGATGTTTTATCTTGGTGATTTCAAAATACTGAATAAGAGTAAAGCACGACAAACTCAGCGGAGATAATTCAGAGGCTCTCAGCCCTAACAGAAATATTGACAATACTTTGTTGTTTTAGGACTTGGATTTATGGTTCTTGGGGATCTATTCCACTCCTTAATGTCATATAATCCATCGAGTGCTGAACTGAAAGCCAAAACTCCTCCTGCTCAGATCCTGTGCCTGCCATTGCTCGTTGGACTTTAATAATTGGCGTGAAGGAATACGGCCACTAACAGTGGGTGAGAAACGTGATGCTGCGTGACAAAGCTCCTTACCACGTAGCTGAGCCAGAGCAAGGATTTCTCATGTGAAACATGGAACTGTGTGACACGCAGCCTGTTCCATTGCGGGCAAGGGTTTGCATTCACCTGCATTCTTTTTTAGTTGCTGGAGGTGTAAAGCTCACCCCTTCGTGGCATGTGGGAGATAGCAAGGAGATGACTTCAGTGTGGCTCATGGATTTCTAACTTGTAGTCTTGTTGTTGTTGTGCTCTTTGTAAAACTTGCTTTTGTATTGCCAGGAGGAACTGATAGTAGCAGGTTGAAAGATCTATGGGCAAAAACATTTGTTTCTAAAGAATTTAAAATGATAAATTTTACAGTTTGCCATCGATGATCCTGATGCTGCACTGGCCAACCCTCTGTAGGCTGCTTCATCGGCCCTTCCAGCTTTGAACTGACAGTGTGACAGTTAACAGCAATCAGGAAACCATTCATTTGAGTGCCTCTTCTTTCATGTGCATCTTTCATTCACTCTGGGTGCATCCAGCATTGCTTCACGCTCTGCAAAATGAAGCAGTGTTGGGGTGCAGTAGTGAGCAGGTACCTTGAGATTATCCAAAGTGAGCTTGGTCTGCACCAGGGAAAGAGTGACTGTGGTTGTGCCATGGCCTGGGGTCCATTGCTCACATTTTACTGGAATTTTGTTTGACATCTTGACTTACCCAGGACAAAAACCACTGTTAGAATGCATAGTGGCAAAAGCAAACCTTTTACATCTCTTTTGCTGCAATCCATTCTTAAGGTGCCTTGAACTGAGTGGAAAAGGTTGGATAAGCGGACCTGGATTAGTGTCAGCTGGAAAGCTTTTGTATTTATCCACCCAAGGAGTTGCTTTTAAAAACTTATTTACAGAAGTTTAATTTTGGATAATAACTATTTGCTTTCAAGTGATTTGCTGCACTTCCAGTGCTCAGCTAGCTGTACTAGCATCTTTGATTTCTGTAGATGCTCTCCTTATTGAAGGTCCTTTAAGATTTTTAGCAATTAGTCTATATTGATAAAGTTATTTATTCTTATATTTTTTTACTTTCTTAGCTTGGAGGAAATGTGGGGTACATGCTAGAAATTGTAGAATCTCATCCCAGTTCTGCCACATCGTCATCCATAGGAAATTGGTGCATTGCATTGCTTCAGTTTTCTTGCCTATGTGGCAGATAGTTGCTGGTCTCATCTCTCTCCCAAAGTATTTTGCCACTCTTTAAGTGTTTGAGACTAATACCAGACTTTCAGATAAGCTCTTCCACATGCCACTTTTATGGGAGTAAAATAAAAATGAGGTTATCTGGAATTGACAACAACTGTGAATTTCAGATTAACTGTGAAGTCTTTCTGCTCGAAATCAGTGCATCCCACTTCCTTGGAAAGATCTTCTCCTCCATTATTCATTACAAGGGCCTTAAAATTATACTCTAGTGACAAAGCCTTTATTTATTTTTAGACAATTGGCATCCACTTCTGGCTGACCTAGAATGTTTCTTTGATGACAATGTCTGTGATCCAGCTGGGTTTGCTGAATGGTTGAATAAACAAAGACAGATAGTAAAATGTGGGAAAGAAAAGGCTATTTTTATTATATTAGAGAGTCTGTCCAGCCAAGTCCAGGCTTGATTCTAAATGTCATATCTGTAACAGTACACTTCAGTTAAGTGCCCTTGTGGTCTCTGCAGTATTTCTGGAATTTTATCATTATTGGATTTCAAGGTTACGAGAAGGTTACGTCCAAAAGGTTCAGAATGAAGGTGATTCACAAAGGCCTCTTCCTTCCTGAAGTATGCATGGTATAGCTCAGGTCGAATACATAGAAGCCAGAGGATAAGTATAAGCCAGTTGTTTTCACGTTATCATCTTTTTTCGTTGTTGTTTCATTTGTTGGCCATTTGTTTTCAGCAGCTTCAAAACCAGCTTAATTTTGAGAGGATAACTCTAGCAAAGAGCTCTGGATCATAGACTATACAGAAGCCTTTTGTTTTGAAAGAATCAAATGGGTTTTTGAACTAAACAGTTTCCTGATCCAAGTTTTTCTTTCTTGTTCAAAACGAAGAACGTAAACCAGTTACCATGAGAGCAGTGTTGGAGGACAATGGCTGTGATTCAAATCCCACTGTAAATCTAGAGGAAGTTGGTCCGTTCTGTGAGGCTGAAAACCAAGTGGCAAACGACATCCTTGCACGTATTTAAATTTAGTTATTACGAACAGTAATGATGAACAAACATCCTGATGCTGTAGCTCTGATGCTTCTGGCACAGGAGGAGCCCCAGTTCCAAGGGGGTGTAGAGCTTGGGCCAATGGAAACCATTCCTTCCACCATAAAAAGCAATGGCACAGCTCAGAGCTCCAGCATGGATATTGGGAGAATGTTTTTACAGGGGAGATACTTTCACATTTTTGTTTGGTAGTGGTCGTCTGAACGAGGAACAGTTTTTCCAGTGTGTGTAGGATAAGCAGATGTGCTTTGGCCTTGAAGTACAGCTGCTGTCCTATCAAGGCATGGGTTAATTCTACCATGTGAAACTACTGAGTACCCAACACGTGCCCTGCGGGAGCCTTCTACAGTCATAATCACTGTGTTTGTATTGGATTAGGAGCATTAAAGAATTTATTTAGAATCTTTTCTGTTTATCAGTTCATAGAATGTGGAGGGAAAAAAAAAAAGGCCTTTCTTGATGACTTCAGTGTAATTTTCCATGATTCGTACTTTTGGTGGTAATAAATAAAATGCAATAAGAATAAATTCTGTTATTTATAAGACTATTTTGGTCTTTTATTAGAATTTAATAACCCAGCCAAAGCTTCAATCAGAGCTCTTCTCTTTAACATCAAAACGACTGCTCAGAATTGTGTAGTTGGAGGCTGATCCCATTGACTGCAGAAAAACATCACCCGTACCGGTGCCAAGGAAAGCATCCGGTGAGACAGACAGAAACAAAGGCAGCAAACCTTAGCCATCCAGTTGGGATTAGGAAGTTTGTAAGAGCCAAGCATGTTCTAGCTCCCATCCCTGTGCCTCTGCCTCTTGGTTAGGTCTCTTGATTAGATACTGACTTGGGTGTGTGTCAGGTGCACCAGGTGTGGTTTTTGAAGGAAAAAAGCCCCCAGAATGTTAAATAATAATGATAAAAATTCTTAGGGTTCTAAAAGAATTGTTTTTTATAAATGAGAGCAACTTTGTATGAGTAAGATAACAGCGAAGGATTGGCTCAGGAAACCAATGTGTGCAAGGTTGCAAATCCAGGCTGCTTTCTCCCATGTTTGCATCCCTCCTTTTCTAATCCAAGAGTACCAGCAATGTGCTGCTCAGTTATCCTTGACCATGTGGTGATGGTAATGATGCAGAAAAGGAACATGCATTCTTACAGAAACTATGAGTTTGTGCTATAACAACCTGGTTGGCCAAGATATCAGTCTGTGGAATCAGTTCCCAATCAATCCTGCTGTGTCAGCATCATTTGTTACTACCAGTGGTTGTAATGGGCTTTGCTGTTATCTGCTGCTTCATTGCTGATTGCCTTCTGATACGGTTTAATAGATGGTTACATGGATCTTTGAGTTTCTCCTCAGTTGTTTTTTAAGGTGAGGATGAGTTCATCCCAAAGCAGAAGAGAAGAACAGAATGGCAGTGCATCCTGCCATTTGGGATGGAGTTGGCCTTGGGTCATACTGACAGTTCTAACGATGGAACTGGGTAATTAAACAACAGTTTGGTGACAGTGGCTTCTGCAAAGGCTGCTAGCAGCCATCAGAGCTGGGTTGGCTGCTCCAGTGCAAGTCCACAGTTCAGAACATGCAGCTGAACAGATAAAATATCTGAATATTTTTTACCTTTTTTTCTCCCATTGGGTCCAAGGTAGCAGGAGCTGCTCTGCACATCCAAGCACTGCCTGACTTCCAAGGTGCTCTGCAGGAGAGTGGTAGAATTGTTCCCACTGACCCTTCTGACTTGAATGCTAGGGAGGTAGGACTCAGTCATTGCAGCTCTTACTGCCCTATGTGAGGGATGAACAAAAATGAAAGCACTGAATACTTATGTGAGGGGAACAAAAGCCTAATGATGAGCAGAATCTATCAGCCTTATCTTCTGGGTGGCTACAGAAGGAAATAATCAAGCACTCATTACACTGGGTTGGTTAGGTGTTAAACATGCAGTTTCATGCCAGTGCTTTAAAGTCAGCAATGGCCAAACCCTTGGTTTTGATCTGCAGGCTTAACAACAGCTCATTTTGTTTGCAGGACACAACTCTGCATGATGGGGTGTTGCTGTGCAGTTGCCATTGGCAGGTCAGCATGCATGCTGCCATGTAACCGTGTTTGTTGCACCACAGTCAGCCCAGCTGCCTGTGTCGAGATTTTTCCATCCAAAATATAATGACAGCAATGGTGTGAGCCCTCCTGGCTGAGGTGTGCAGCTCTGGAGCTGCTGCTCTGGCTTGTAGCCCAGAGGGCCTTTAAATGACCCTGCTGGCAAGGCTCTGGAGGTTGAGAAAACAGCGTGTTGAGAAATTGTTTAGTGACTTTCTAAAGTAATCTCTTAATTAAGGATAGGCTTCTGAATACACCAGGGCTCAGAGCATCTGCACTGCCGACACGCTCATCCAGCTCAACGTGTGTGAGGCTGTGCACAGGAAATCAGGGCTGGAATTGCTGCTTTGTGAGACTTTGAGAGCTGCAGACCAGATCTTGCTGCTTTTGACAAGGTGTGCACCATTACTTCAGGGACCGCGCTCATTTTGCTCGCAATGATCAGCTTAACCTGAGCTGTGCCTTTCCCAAAGCCCAGTTCCTCAATAGGTGGGGATGGTGGGACTCTGCTCGTTGGGGCTCTCTGCCTCCCCCAGCAGTGCCTGCATGAGGCTCACGTGTGCAGTCAGACAGCTGCAAGGTGCAGTGTTTCTCAAACTCCGTTGCAGGGATGCAGTTTCTATTTCATCATTGTCCTGGCATATTGCTGGAGTTCAGTGTGTTATTAAAATAATAATAATAAAAAAAAACCACTTAAAGTATATTTCTTTTCCATATTAACTCTTCATTATCCTGGGAATAACATCCTACAGCCACCTGCCTACATGGAGAAAGGGAACCGCTCACGGTGCTTTTATTGAAGCTGATGGCTGCAAAGCTGTAACACGTTCTCACCAAAGAGAAGAACAGATTGGATGCCCTATTGCTTTTTTGGTTAAGAAATGGTAGAAAAACACCTGCAAAGCAGTTTGATTGCTTTTCTGATCCTTCATGCAACATATGCCCTGGAGAACATTCTTTGTTAATAATGTACTTTTTATTGTGGAGAATGATCCCAAACCCATCCAGAAGGGTAATGGATTACAGCAAGTATGGGGAAAATACCCTGCTGGACGAGTGCTTTCTGTTAATATTTTATATATATAGATTAATATCTTGTATAGAATATTTTCAACCCAGATGGATGGATGGAGGCAGGGTTTTACTGCATTACTAAAACGTGTGAGCTTATGGTACAATACTCTCTAACTTACTGCTGCTGCTTTTAAAGCTGCGTCTAGGCTGAAGGATTTTGAGAAAGAAATTGATGTGAAACAGATGGGTGAAAAAAAAAACCATAACTGAATTTTGTAACCATTTTCTGATAGAAGAGAACTTTTTGCATGGAGCGCCTTGGTGATTTTTGTCTGATAATTCTGATGTTGTCGGATCTGAAGCGACGGGGTTTTGAAAAAGGGTTTATATGTTAAAGGAAGGGGCTTGGAAGAGGCACAGCTCAGTTAAGTTGATCATTGCAAACCGAATGAGTTCTGTCCCCACAGTAATGGTGCACGGGCTGTACAAAGCAGCAGGATTTGGTCTGCAGCTCTCAGAGTCTGAAAAAGAAGCAATTGCAGCCCTGCTTTTCTACATAAAGCCTCACGTGTGTGAGCTGGATGAGCGTGTCGGCAGTGCAGATGCTCTGAGCCCTACTGTATTCAGAAGGGTTTTGCTTTTCAACTTAAAGGTGAAGGCTTTCTAACTTTTATCCGAGTTAGAGGGACGTTAGAAACCAGTGTTTCCTCTTCCACCTGCCTGGCCAGCAGAGCCTTATTAAATTACCACGAACTTTGAGCGCTAAGCGTTGGAGTCTGTCGTGTGTTCGTTTCCTTTGTCCAAGCTGCATTTCCAGCTGTATCTGCTTTATTTCAGTTTTAAATCTGTTCAGGGAAGCACTGAGAAACACGCGTTTGGAATGAGCACCCTGAGCGGTTGCGCTCGCAGATAGGAGGGTGCTCACATTTCAGCAGCAGCGCGGAGGATGCGCCGCTTCGCAGTGAGGAATTGCTCCCAGCACTTAGCTTAGATCCAGCATTGCCCCCTGAGCTGGTGAGGAGCGTGCAATTGGTAAGGATTTATACTTTTCTACTGTCTAGTCGTTGTCTTTTAGTCTTAGTTTTCCTGAATTCTGTGATGAAGTTTTTAATTTCCAAAATATCCTGATGCTGCTCGTGTTCAGTTTGGACTTTTTCTTAGTTAGTGACAGCAATGAAGAAAAATAATCATCGGTTTCGGAAGCCTTGAATGTTCATTTGAAGCATGGCTTCATTCAAAGCGCATTCAGCTCTGTTTGCTGTGCAAGCAGCTCATTTCCCTGCAGGAGCAGCAGTTTCTGCTGGGTGCAGCAGCACCGACCCTGCATGGCCCACGTTAATCCTTCATAGCTGGAATGGAGGGCATTGGCTGCACAAAGCAAGCTGCAGGAAGTGTCAGGAGGCGTCACCTATATTTGGAGGCGAATTAAAGCACTGCAAGGAAGCAAATGTGAAAAGCATCTCATGGTGTGGAGCTAAATTACTGGAGCATAAGGAGATGTTTTGTACTCGGTGTCACAGCGCAGCGCATACAGCCCTGTGCGTGTCTTTGCAATGGTAACCTTTCCAACCTCTCTTAAAGAACTTCCAGCTCCGTGCTATATTTTATTCCTTTCCCCTTGGCCGTTTTCTTAATGCTTTTTTGTTTATAAGTTGGGGAAGCTAAAACTGATGGCATACTGAAGGGCATAATGCTTAATGCTATTTTGCATAATGGCCAGGAATTTTTAATTTCCTTCCTTCCCGTGCCTTTTCACATTCATTTAGCTGAACGTTCCCTCTGTTCCTGTGCATCTCTTCTTTCTGAGTGCCCATGGTTAACGTGTGTGTCTGTGTATGATTTCACACTGCTGGGGATGGATTTCACCTGTCGTTGTGCTGCTCTGCTCTTAGGGAACGCTGCATTTGGCTTCCATCACAGAGGTTTCTGCAGTACCAGAATGATTTGTCACCTCCCTACATTTGCACATTCCCATGCATTTTTCTGAATATTAAGATTAAAAACATTAAAAACCAAACAGCAGTTAAAAATCCCATAGCGTTCCTCTTGATGTTGGGATTCAATATGGGCTCCTTGGCTCAGGATTTCCCCTTTTGGGGATACGCTGAGTTGCTGCCATTCTCAATAGAAGTTGCCTTTATATTTTTAGATACATTTGGAAAGAAATATGTTCTGTAAATAGTATGTTTTGATTGGAAGTATCGTGAACTCCTTTAACATATTCTTTTTTCACCAGTAAATATGACACCAGCTGGACTGAGGGCTGCGTTCCCCCCATAAGCTGTTTATGCATACGGTCTGTTACTGTTAAGCTGAGTGCAAGTTCTCAATTTTGGGTATTATTCTTTTTCTGGGGAAGGGAAAAAAAAGAAATCACACAAAACGCTCACGAGGAATTAAATTCATTTTGTAAAATCACTTGAGGGGAATTGGATACATCTGCTCCGCTTGTTCAGTCTTTGTAAATTGTATTAAATGCTCTCAGACGAGGAACATTCAACATCCAGCTGCCCCAGGCAGGCTGCGGGAGGCACAGTTGCATGTTTTCAAGCAGACGCTCGAGGTCTCTCCAGATTTGGGCTGTAACCTTTTGTGCCACGGCTTTGCAGCGTAGCAGCAGTGCGGTGCTGTGCTCAGTTCATGCAGTTTTATTGCAGACCTCAGGCAAGAGCAAGCCGAGCTGGGGTAAATTCTGACCAAAAGAGACTGTAAACTGTCCTTCTTCCATGTTCAAATACACAGCAAAAGAAAGAATTGTTTTCAACGAGGAGAAGCTTGTTGCATGTGTTGTTGTGTCTTTCCCTGCTGGGCTTACAGGGGAACAGGATGAATCGTTACTGTGAATGGCATTTATCTCTCTGCAGATAAAAACAGACTGTCAACACGTTTTCAGTTACGCGCAGGCAGATAAATGAGGATGCAGCATTCAGAGTAAGGACACTTAGGTGATAATTGTCTGTAATTATTGCCGTGCCCCTGTTGGAGCAGGATTAAAATGTAAGATTTGGGGAGTTTGGGGTTCCCTTTGGCCACATCCGATGTTCTGTGTCCACCAGGAGTTGGACTCAGTGGTCTGTATGGATCCCACCCAACTGGGGCTATTCTGTGGTTCTATGAAAACGTTGCATTTTCAGCACAATTTCAACCCAAATTCACCAATTAAGTCACAGTTTTCCTGATACATTGCTGCAGCACCGCAGTGAAAACCGATCCAAACACACGGGGGTTGGTGCAGAGATTTTAAGGCCTAATGAAGCAATGGCTGTTGGGGTTCTGTGTGCTGTGCTGTGCTGACAGGGCAAAACGTGGCAATGAATGAAAAAATGGAACTTTGGACCATATCCAGAGATGCCAAAATCATTGAGTTTGGGCTTTAACGAAGCCCAGTGTGCCCTCAAAGATGCTCACTTATTCCAGAGTGCTTTGCAGGAGCTGAAGAGGCTTCAGTGATGGAGTTAATTTAATTTATAGTTTTTTTACTTTTTTTTTTTTTTTTTTTACGTAGACTTGGATACCATTCTCTGTTTTCAGTCTGTGTCTTTTTATGAGAAAAAAAAAAATCGTATTAATTGTTTTCCCTTGAAAAAGCACTTGCCAAGCAAGTCTTTGTGACGTGTACCCAAGGGCTGTTTGCATAGGAAGGCTTCTCCATGCATTGCTTCAGACAGCTGGCAAGCCCCCTGCCAACAGCAGCACTGGCATCTTAACCCTGTATTCTTGAAAACGTAACAAAAGATAACTTCCATCTTTTTCACAAGTGATCCTTTTGAAAACCCAGATGACAGAAGGTTGGGAGAAATGGGAACGGATTTCTTGTGTGGGTTAAAAAATTCCTTTAGTTTTGTGTTGCAGCTTCCAGAGGTATGTATTGGTACTAATCTCCCATACAACAAGGAATAATAGTAACCCAGCAGGCAGTGTCATTTGTTATTTCTCTTCTAATCACGGTGCTCCTCGCAAGCAAAAGTGCTCCTTTATTGCTTGCTAAAACAGAAACAGGGATCTTGGAGAGCCTAGGTAGCGAGGGAATGAATCCCTTATGGGAAACCCATCCCTACCAGAATTAGTGGAAAAATAAAATGCAAGCCATAATGAGTCAAGAGGATGGGTTTGGTTTATTAGTTCCAAGAAACACCCGAGTTAAAGGCTCAAAAAACAAGTGGAGCATCAAGTGTGAGTCTGGCAAAGGCGAAGCGCGGCCAGAAGAGGCCCAGGGCAGCAGGGCAGGAGCTGTGCCTCTTCCAGCAGTGCTGTGCTTGCAGGGCTTTGCTTTGCCTTTAGGAAATGAAAGCCCATCAGGCAGAGCTGTCGCAGCAAGCATGGCGATGTGCAGTGCATAACCTGTACAAAATGTGTGCGTCTTCCCCACGTGGCTTCAGTTGCTGTGTGTGTGCAGGTTCATACGCTGAGCAGCAGTGGGTTCTGTTCTAGTTTCTGCATAAAAGAAGGTATCAATGGATGTTGTGTATTTAAATGAAGCTGTTCTTTGGAATGTTTTTCGTGTCGTTCCTTCTCGCTGCCATTAGCTGCGAGTGTTTGGAACTGGAAACAGAGCCCAGGAATTTCCCAGAAAAGAATCTCTCAGGGACAGGCACCAGCCTCCCCCGAGAAAGGGAAAGCTTAAACATTTAATGGCTCTATTAATTAAGTTCAGTAATTTCTCAGACTGTTGAAAACGTGTAGACGTGCCTGACGGATCCGTTGGGTTATTCACCACGGGAGGCTTTGAGGTAGCGAGAGGTTTTTTCTGATTGAGTTTTGGCAGTGTTTCAAAAGGGGTTTTAAGCTGATAAATGGAAAACGTGAGACGCGAGGGCTGCTGGCTCTCCCTGCCCTTAACACTTGGAGGGCTGCAGCGTGCTTTGGTTGGCATCAATTAAAAAGATTTGAGATCCGGGTGCTGATGTGTGGGATGTCCGTTGTCACACGGTTATGGGTTTGTGCCCTCCTGTTGTATGGTGGTTTGCTGTGGGCTGGGTGCTTGTGCTCAGCGATGGGGCAGGACGTGGCCTCAGCACCTGCTGTGCTCTGCTTTATTGGAGCTCAAATTTAGAGGTGTGAAAGACAGAGGAAGAAAGCAGCACGCACCCCACAGGTACTGTGTCAACCCCCTTATCTCAGGGTACATTTCCCTTATTTCTCATTTTTAAAAAGGGGTGAGGTGGTTCTTTTGCCAAAGCTGGGCTTGGTTTTGGCATTGCTTCCTGCATTCCATCCACTTTGGCCTCCCAGAGCAAGGGGGGGGGGACCCACAGAGATGGCTTTGGATGGAGGTAACACAGCACCAATAGAGTTACAGCAGCACGGGCTGACTGCCAGCAGAGAGGGCTCCGGGCAGCTCCTCCACCACAGCCCAGAGGGGACAGAGGGTGGATATGGGGTTACTGTATGCAACAAATAAGGCTTTTAAGAAAGAATGAAATGCAGCGACATAGGAGAGA